ATCAAGCAGAACCTGGTAGAGTTCAGATGTATTTGGGGTGGAATGAAAGAATACAAGAACATTTAATCAAGGAGTGGCCATGAAGCCATTTATGTTTTAGTAGCCCAGAGAGATGATGTGTGCTTAGCTGTAGGTGGTAGCAGGTGATGTGGTTGAGAAGCAGCTATATTCAGGGAGTATTTTAAGGTAGACTCATCTGAACTTGCAGATGGATTGGATGTGGATGTGAAGAGAAGGGGAATTAGAGATACCTAGGTCAGGAATTGAAGATACTAGACTTTGGGACTTATTAGATGGGAAAGGGTAAGAGAGACACAGATTTGGGGGAAAGGCAAGAGTCTGTTTTGACCACATAGAGTTTGAACTGTTGTTTTGTCATCTAAGCTGGATGCCAGGTGGGTGGTTGGGTACACGTCTGGAGCTCAGGGGAGAAGACCTGTGAGTGGTGGTAAAGGCCCTGGAATGAGTTGAGAGTAGCTAGGAAAAAGGACCAAAGCTTGTGCCCTGAGAAATTTCAACATTTAGAGGGCAAAAGGATAAGAAAGAATCATCAAAGGAAACCGAGAAAGGGGCTGAGGTAGAAGGAAAACCAAGAGGGTGTGGTGTCCAGTGAAGAAAGTGTTTCAAGAGTGAAGGTGTGATCAACTGTCAAATGCTTCCGAGAGGTTAAGCAAGATACCATCTAGTTAGCTCAAAGTAAATTGTTTTCTCAGCTCTAATTTCTCATAGAATTTTAAGTTTCTCACTTTAATTTCCAGTAACTAAGCCATATGGTTATTTTGGTTTGTCTTCTCTTCAGAGGTCCTTTAAGGTCAGAGACCATGTCTTATCCCTCCTAGAACATCCACTACCTATTTTTATTCAATAAATATTTGAGTAGATGAGTGAATAATGGGGAATTTTAGAAAATCTGGGATAATGTGTCTAATAGAGAGTTAGCAATTAGAACTAGTTTTGCTGAGATGTTACTAAATGTTTTTCTTTAGGACTAACTGTGGGCTTTGCTCTGGTCAGAATAAAAGATGTTTACCACACATCTGATTTGGACTATTGTGAATCACAACCTACCAAGCATTTCAATTTTTTCACAGTAACGTTTTATGCACGGTGTACTACAAAAGTAATTTAGGTTTTATCTAGTTTGCTCCTATATGATCTATCTACCTATCTATCTATAGATCTCTATCTATAGATGTCTAAGTATATCTATCTTACATATTCTCCCTCCCCTCTACCCCCACCCCCAGACCTGACTGTCCCTCATCAAATCCACATTTGATGAGGCTCCACAAGTAACTTTTTCTCCTACATATGAGTATGAGCATCATTCAAATAAATCAGAGATAACAAGGTAAGTTACATTTCATAATACCTGATAATTTCAAAGCCAAGACAAAAGGAGCTATAGAAATGTAGATACTAGGGGCCTCCCCTGGTGGTGCATGGGTTGAGTGATGTGCTGTGAAGCTGCCCGCAGCCTCTGCAGCGCCGGTTCGATCCCTGGCCACTGGCGAGGGTCCCACATGGCGTGCAGACCTCTCCTGCCGTGCCGGCTGCTCCCCTCAGCAGTGTATTTCATCAGTCTGCCTGTTCTGTTCCCCGCTCTGGCTCTGGTGAATTCTCTCACCCTTCTGCGCTTCTGACTGTACCCAGTGCTTGTATAAATAAATAAATGAATCTTTAAAAAAAAAAAATGTAGATACTAGGGATGACCACATTCTTAAGGAGGAGGGTTGAGATGACATATCCAGGAAAAGGCTAGTTGGCCAGGCAATGAAACTTGGCCGTAGGCACAAAATAGTTCAGATACAATGGAGAGGTCACTGAGTTACTGTCTCTGGAAAAGGTAACAGTTTTGAGTAAGCCTTCAGCAACATAATTTAGGAAACCATGCAACTAGAAATGACAAAGTCCCAACAAGTAGATCCCAACCCAGTCCAGTATCCCCCCACAGATCAGAAATGCTACAGCATGTATTCCTAGTACAGAAACCCCCCCACCTGGAAGCTTGCCCCTCTGCTTGGCTATAAGGATTTCACTGGGGGCTCTTGGGATTATTTTCTTAGAATGTCACACTTAAGTTTATGGCCCTTTGGTCTAGCTTTACGGTAGCACCTAGAGAGCAATTATTCATCTTTGATTCCTATTTACTATCATTTCAAAGGATTGAGAAGGCATTTTTCTAATCCATTGATCACTTGCCTTAGTTTTCACATTGGAATGAGTATTTTGTAAAGAGATCTTGTAGTCCCATCCTTTACTAGATCTTACTCTGAATATACCCAAATTATGGCACTGCTGAGCAGCCAGCCTATCCACCCAATATTGGCATAATGGATTCTAAACTACAGCATCCATTGCACATATATGAGATACTCAGTATGCAGATGGTGAACTAATTTCAAGAGTGAGACTGAAAAACTGGGGGCATACCTAACAGGAAAGAATAAACAGGCTAAAGATATTTTGGAATCAGAAGCTTGAAAGTGTCTTTCAAATAGAGTTGTCAAAAAAGAAGCAATAAGTCATGCTACAAATACTAGGTCACTGGGATTTAATAATTTAATGTAGCATTTCTCAAATTAGTTTAATATGATATAGTACTAGGAGGTAGGGGAGAATCCAGACATATCTGGAAATACTGGACAAAATAGCAGTGTGCTTTAAACTCTAGAAGGGTGATATACCAAACAGCTTTTCCCAAACTTTTACTTAAGTATTAGTATAGTTTACTGCATCCCAGGTTCAGGGCATAGTACTGAGCCAAGCAGACCTGGTCTCTGTTCTTATGGAATTTATGTTTACTATAAGAAACAAATACCACAAAATGGTTATTATAAACCACAATGTTACAAAGGAAAAACTCCTCAGCATCTTCTAAGTAATATGTGAAGCAGATATCCTCTACCTTAGTTTGAATAACTGTGCTCATAGGTTTAACACATTTCCCCAGTTAAAAACGTATTACATTTTCAGAAGTGAAGTCTGGAGGCAAAAGCAAGGCACAAACTACTCATTTATGAAAAGGTCAGAATTAATAAATACCTCCAGATGCTAGATGAGAATAGCCTCCACTTAAGGGGCTGCTGAAATTAGAGTGATGTTGAAACAGAAGATCTGTGCTGTGGTCTACGCAGCTAACGTGAATGTGGACTAACGCAAGGAGCTGATCCACAGTGGTTCCTGCTGAAAGTAGCCGGTTTGAGTAAGCAAGTCTTCTGCAGTAATGCAAACCCAAACTGACTGCACTTTGTATACTGATTTCTAAATGACAAGGTTCTTCCTATTTTTATAACAGAATATAGCACAGATTTTAAAGTGTCATTAAATAATTCTAAGTTAATTTTTTCTCCTTTTCACACACTTTTGGAAAGCACCAGTGGAACTAGATGCTCCACTAAGAACCAGGGAAACCAGAGGAAAAAGCTTGGTTATGTGGGGGTGGGGAAGATAGTGGGAAAGCCAAATAAATCACTTTCAGAACAATCCATTGATATGTCACAGCACACTGACATTCCTAAGTCTACAGATTTGTCTTTATCTCACTGTTAGCCATTCCAACACACTCTTGGCTAACCAAAGTTTCTAAAAACTGAAACATTTCCCAAAAAGCTATCTAAAGGATCTGAAAACTGGTCTTCTCTTTACAAATGCTGTAATTTGATTAGTAAAGTCCATAGTATTATTGCAGTTGCTACTAAGTACAAAGAATCAAACTTATAATGCATATTTGAGAGAAATTAAAGGATTCTTGTCATATAAAGCTATATGGTAAATGTATTTTTACAAAGTGTCACTTGATCTCAAATTATCTGAAAAGAGGCACGCCTCTCTTTTCTCATCCCTGGCACTCCTGTGAATAATTTTCAATACTTTCAAAAGACCAGGAAATGAAAATATTTTGAAAACACTTTAGAAAAAGATAGCACTCAAAATTGATGTATTTTGACTTACTTCATTCCAGTGATTGGCTATGAATGGGACTGACTATACAGGTTTCCCTGCTATTCAAAAGTAGTGTGTTACTATTTGGTATGATTGGATAGGCTGATTTTGGGATTGAGAATACGCTCACCTTTAGTTTATATAGAATGATTTTTCAGTGTTCCCAGCCCCCCCAAATAACCTACCCAGCAGAAAGGCTCTAGTTTAGAATAGTGGAGGAAACCTGCAAATATAATCACACACGATTTTTTTCCCACCATACTCCAAAGATTCAAAACTTCTATTTCTACTACGTTGACGCATCAAACAGGAAACTCAACTCACCTCAGGCCTAAATATGATAGTATAATAAATAAAAAGTGAGACTTGTTCTTCGAAATGATCCACTTAAAATTAAATTTCTGAAAACTGAAAGGAAGTAACCTATAAAAATTAAACCCTATAATAATAAAAAAAAAATCCTAGAAAGGTAACCACTATGTTACTGTCACAATATCAAATCCCATATATTGTGCTCTTAGCAAATGATCATTTTTCAGGGGTTACACAGAATGAGACTAGTCCACTCATGGGTTCATCTCAAACTGAGTGGGATGTGGTCTATACGTGCTGCTGTAGAGGCTGGTAGGTCAACTTGTCTAACTCTGAGCTACTTTGGGACTTCCTGTGGGATAAGGTGCTTATCAGCTCATCTCTATCCCTGGTCAGAACTTAGGTCATCCGTATGAAAAGTAACATTTCGAAGGACAAGCAATGTTTTACTCTACTTAAGCTGAACTTACTCCTTCCTAGTTAACAATGCCGAATATTTAAAAACAGATTTTAAATTTCTTGGGGCGAGGCGGAGCACTACCAAAGATGAGTTAAAACAAGCAGACTGCAATTTGTGGTGCGCTCTAATTTTCATTCACATGTTCTCCTTTACCCTCATAACTTTTCTGCCTTTGAAAAACTTTTATGATGGGTATAAGAGTAGGGAAATTTTCATGATTCCCTGAGTGGGAACCTGTTATATATAAAATTCATTTCTAACTTCTGGAAAGAAGGACACATTATTTATTTAATTTTTTAATAAACCATAAAATTTAAATATTCAACAAAAAGAAACAAAAATAGATATTTAAGCTAGCACTAATTTTTGTTTTTATTCTTCCTCTGGGTATCAGAGGAAGACTTACTTGGGACTAGAGTAACACAATTAGGATGCTGGTGTAATGATGAACAAATATGTAAAAATGGGCAATGGCTTGACAAAATTTACTTTCAAACCTGGAAGTAAAGCTCGGCTGCTTGGTGAAGCCCAAGACCTCACACTGGTCTTGTCTGTGGAAAACTATTATGGCTTACCGTTCTTATCACACTTTCTTATTCACAGCTACACTCCCTGGCATTTTGATCCTTTCACTCACTGAAGCTCACTTCGGTCTGTCAAAACATCAAGGGGGAAAACCCCCAAACTGAATAGACGAATAAACACTTTTAATGTGAGCAATCATATTCAGATCAATCTCTTGAAAAATACAAGTCAGTGGGTTTTTTAAACTTTAGTAACCCAGATATGCTTTTTTCCCTGCCTTTACTAAAATGGCACTTTTCATTTCATTGACATTAGCCAATTATTTGCTACTTGCTTCTGTTTTTCTCTGATCGCTCTGGCACCCTATGTCTTTCTTCTTGATTCTTCTATTTTCCATCCCCGACCATTTGATCTTTCATTAACTTTAATCTTGTCCTGCCAATCAATCTGATATTAATCAGTGAAAATCACAAAAGGAAAAAGGAAGAAGTGAGCAATACCAGGATTTCACTTCAACATTCATATGATTTTTGTAAGAAACACATTCATTTTTATTTTGGAATCTAAAACCATTGTTGTAGGATATTATGTCTGTCAGCATACTCAAGTGGGCTGACGTTCCACATGGACAGCAAGCCGGCGCACAAGAAACCAAGGATGATGCACAAATACGTGCAGCTGGCAGAGTCCCAGCAGCGTGGTAATAAAGTGCAGCAGAAGTTTCCTTATAGTGAATGAGAACTCCAGTCATCTCAGAATATTTTTGGTAAAGTTAAGGAAAAGCTACTGCAGTCAAGAGATCGGTAATCTTTAGACTTCAAAGACTGACTGCCAGGGACCACCACAGTGAAATATTGGAACTGGAGCCAATGAAAAACACTAGCTTGGAAAGGAAAGGGTTTTTCCAAAAATACAAAATTATCTTATACAGATACTTAGCATACTATGATTTGACAGGTTTACAGTGATAAAACAGCAAAGATAAATGGTAGCATTATTAATGCCTTTAGCATGTAAAGAACACAGATTTAAAAGTTGGCAGCAAAAAGACTCTGTGAAAGCTCCTGAGACAAGTTATTCTACGCCCTCCATCCATTCCATGCCAGTGACAACCAGTGTGAATGGTAACACATAGAGTAAAAACAGTGATCTACTGTGAGTCAGAAAGTACTGGAAAAGTGACAAAATTGTATGTTATTAAATGACAAAACATATTTAGAGGCTTTATTTAAAAATCTCTTACTGTTCATTATCAAAGTTACAAGATTGTTTGCATACCAATAGACAGACTGTAAACATAGGAAATTTTCTTTAAGGAAAGATGGGTTTACTGTAATTTGATCTTTTACAAAAAATTACTGCAAGTTATTGATAACAGAATTTCTCTTTTACTTTCTTAAGTCTAATTCTCTTGAAAATTAAACCAATGTTTCCACTCCCTCGAGCTAAAGTTCAACCATGGTCACCTTAGGAAATACCCCTGTTTATTTGTTAATCAGAAATACAAATTGAGTGGCACATATTTCCATTTTCTTCTTAGGCCGAAGGTTTCGGCTTCATTATATTTTACAAGAAAACAGAAGACTTGCAGTGGTCCTGTGAAGTCTTTCATGTCGCAGCTGAGGTTTAATGACGGCAGTGGAGGAAAGCAGTGGTGATGCAGGCTACGACCAGCCAAGTGCCCTTATCTGACATGGGATCTTTTTCCTGTTTGGCTTGCAGCAGTGTTTCTGGTCAGGTTGCTTCCACCAAACCTGACTGAAGCAGAAGGGTGACATGCTCTGGTAAATCCTGTCGAAGGGTGATTCCGTTCAGGCAAATAGTGGACCCTTCAATCTGTTGGTTGCGGGACGATACTAATATGAAGAAAATTATCGGGGTAGCTCAGATGTTCGCTCAGCCACTGCAGAGGCGTTTCCAACATTGGCTCAATTCCATGAATCATCACTTGATTCTTCTTCTCCCCATCTATTCCAAAAAAGACATCCGACCATAATCAGTGAGTCAAAACAGCTAAAGGGAAAACAACCCGTTGCCCTTTGAGAATCCTTAGCAAATTCAGTGGATTTTACAGCTTTAACAGGTCAAACCTGGACTGTCTCCCCAGCAGGAAATGTGGACATGGAGAAAGTTCACATGTTGCAGTATGTATCACACAAAACAGAAACCTGAGGGTTACAATGAATTCTGATAAAAAATTCTGTTGCTATATGTGAAAGTATTCATTCTTTCTTAATTACTGTGCTTACCTAAGATTGACGTTAATGAAACTATAGTGGAGAAAACAGCGCACTGTACCCACTGACCAAAATTTATTTTAGTAACACATTAAAAACTGTGCTACATGGTTATTAAAAACAACAGGTACATGAAGGAGGTCAACACATTTAAAATATATAAAAAAATTAAAAAGTGATTAGAAATCAAGATCAGTATTTTAGGAAGATTTTTAATAAAACAGGTGGGAGCTGTAGGTTAATTTTCAGTACCATTGTTCAAATATGTAGCTGAAAGTCCTAGAGGCATTAGAATAAGAGTTAAAATTTTAATGAGAAGAAACTATGAATCTGACTCAGGTATTCCTGTTTTAGTCATGAAACCTGATTGATTTTTGTTAACATGCATTCACTAATTAAAAGGGGGTGCAATTCATACTTTTCAATTCAAATTTTATTGCAAATTAAACTGAAGGTTAGTTTTGTGTCTTTTAGGATTAGTATGATGTACTGAAGATTTTAAAAGTAAACAGAAGCATCCCTGATTGTTGTAGGAAAGCAAAATTAAATCCCTCTTATGAAACAAAACATAATATTGAGGTTTCAACAACTTTATCACTCCTTTGGAACAATTTTTGTTCTCTTCAGCTTTTCAGGTTTGTCTCTTTCAGCTTCCTGGAGATAGAAGACAAGGAAACTGGGAATTCCTGGAACTATGAGAGGGAAATACCCTACTTTTCCCTGATCAAAATGACTTTTGCATCCCAAGTGCTCTAACGTCTGGGCAAAATGGGCTGATGATGTATGGTGATAATGGCTTGGCTGGCACCTGAAACAAGAGCCCCTTTTAAAGAAATATTTCAACTTCCTCTCAGAGGCAGCACAGTCCTGGGAGGTGATGGTCAACAGTTTGACAAAGTGAGGATACAAAAACAATACAGATAATTGATAAAAGAGTGCCAAAATAAAAATTGAACAATACTATCAATCCCATGGATGACCAAATAAAAATTCCAAATAAACCCCTGGATCACTGTCATGATTTAAAACAATTTTGGAGAAAAGTTCTCTCATAATACTACCAACTTCAAAAATGCTTTCATTGTTTTGATTTTTCTGCCGATCTTTTTGCTTCTATACTTTTTACACAATTAGAATTACGATGTAATACAATGATTGATTTTCATAGTGATGAATCATCTATAAATAAAAGATTAAGTTATACACAGAATAATGTAGTAATAAAAAGCATGGTTTTAGTGCGTTGAGACAATTTTAAAGTTCAAATGTATAAACCCTAAGCTATGGAATGATTCATTCTTTGCGAGTTCTACACTGTCAAGGTTTTACTGTATTAAATCTTTCTTAGAATATTTGAAAACATTTCCGGTATAGTTTTCTTCATATTCTTATTATATATTTCTTTGAAATATTTTAATATTCTCAGAATCTTCCTCCTACTTAGCACTGAGTCAAAAAATGAAAGAGTGGTGGTGTAAAAGTTCCTTATCTCTAAAGTTTTTCCTTAAAACTTTGGATGTTCTGAAGCAGAGTAGAAGAAACAAGCCACAACTCAATATCCAAAAACTGTACCAAAAGCATATTTAAATATAGGTGCAAATACAACACAGCATGAAATCCACTCAAACACTGTGTGTCTGAGACAAAAGGGTACAACAAACTCAATAAATCACCTTATCGGAAACCTGTCCAGGCAACACTGATTCTCTGGTTGAAACTGGGGTCACTTTTAATCTGTACTAAAGTGGATATAGGACCATTATATCCCTCAGCACAATATTTTAAGTATATTTTGTCACTATTACATTTGTCCAAACATTTCACCTGTTTATATTATCTCTTTTATTTCTTAACTTTCCCCAACAACACAATGGTTACCAGAAGGATTCTTACAATGGGATGGCAGTTCACTTGGAACTAGTAACTAAAAATTTCTCATCCTTCACTGTACCCCCGTGCCTAGCATGGTCCTTGATACTTAGCAATTGGTCAATACATGTTTTCAGAGCTTGGATAATTTCGTGGCTGGTAGAATATACTGCCAAAATAAATGCTTTGAGACTAGCTCTTGAGGGCTAGCCCTACCACGTAGAAGAGCTCTCTACCCATCAAGACTGCCTTTGTTATTAAAACAACAAAGTCGAAATTTTTTCAGGTAAACCAAGGAGAAATGCTGTCACCCAAATTCATGCTACCATAAATAATAAGAAGGAATGGACATTTTGGCAATATCACAACTAACAAAATGGAGCAGTGAAAAATCAGCAGATGTTTCTGTTTTTCTAATAGTAGAAAGGAAACACTTGATGGTATTACTAAAGTAAACCATGTTTTTGGTAAATATGTCTTTGTGTTTCAAAATGGGAATCTAGAATTTAGTACTCGGGAATAGAAATATGTCACTACAAAGCAAATGACTCAGGAGAAAAATGTTACTCCACACCTCACCCACTCAGGATTAAAAAAAAAAAAATTAAGTTTGCTGCTTGAAAGTCAGGCAAACATTTAAGACAGTAATCTATATAAATGCTCTCTTACTGGACACATTTTGGGGGATGGCTTCAATTTTCATATAATTTCACACTTAGAGAAAAGTTATAGAAATAGCACAAAGACTTCCCTTCACTCAGATTAATCAATTTCTTAAATATGCCATTATCATCATGCGTGTATATAATTATTTTCTGAATCATCTGAGAGTAAATTAGAAACAATGAGCCTTTTACCCCTTAAGATTTTGTAGGTACCTTCTAGAAAAGATATTCTCTAATATATTCTTTTATATAGTCACAGTATACTTATCAAAATAAAAAATTAATACTGATAGAATCATTTCAAGTGTTATTAGCCATCCCAATTATTTTCTTTTTCCAGTCTAAAATCTAGTCCAGGAATCACACATTTTCTTGTCTCTATATGAATCGTCTATAAATGAAAAAAACCTCAGTTTTTCAATCTCAACAGCTTTTAGCCTTTTTTGGCATTTCTTACCCTTTACAATTTTGAAGAGTACACATGATTACATTAGAGAATGTCCACGTAGCCATTTTTAAGCCTAATTGCTTTAATTTCTCTTATAATTGTAAGGACAGTTATTCGTAAGTACTTCAGGTTTGTGAATTAAGGAAAAGGCTAGAAACAAATATCAGAAATCTGTTTTTTCAGGCAGAGAAGGGATTCAATTCACTTTAAGAGTTAGATATTAAATCTGAAGAGATTATATCTAAGTCAATAGAGAGAATGTCACAAAATTTCATCCCTTATATTTATCTTAAAGTCCAAGTATTATAAAGAAGATAATAATGTAAATGTATTATGTAACTTTGTCTTATCACCAACAGACTAATAAAAACAAATTGAATTCTTAACTAGCATCTACTTTTAGACTTGAATATACTCAGATATTGTGGAACTAGAAAAACTACCACAGAAGCTATATGTGTATGTGTGTGAGTGTGTATGTACATATGTATATAATTATATAGACATATAATTATATAGAAAGGTTACATAGCAAAAGGAAGAGACAGAAATTCATATTAGCCACATAATTCATTAGTGAAAATTATGAATTTAAAACAATGGTAATTTATGATAAAAAATGATGCCTACACAAAGATGTAGACGTACATCTGTACACACACATGTACCTAATTGAGACAAATAGACCACAGTGCCAACTACACACTGACAGTTCAGGTCCTACTGAAATACAAATTGGGAGGTAGACAATCTGAATTCTAATTCTGGTATTGGAGGACTCTGGGCAAGCCTCACATCTCTTTTAGGGTGTTGCCTTATATATATAGTGAAGGCGTCTGTCTAGATTCATGTTATACAAATCTGGCTGACCATCAAATCATTTGGAAGAATTAGAAAAGCTGGGCCCCTCTCTAGACCTTCTGAATCAACCTGTTTTTAAATGTTCTCTTAAACAGATCTTACAACATAGGTATAGAATTTTTCTTCACACAAAATTTTACGCAGAAACCCAACATACAAGCCAGGGGAAAGTGGGGCAGCTCTGGTTGATGTGGGATTGAGACTGTTCCCCAAGTCGTACTGCTTGCTGACTTAAGACCCATGGTAATGTCTGATGTAACTCTATGGGCCAGTTTGTAAACCACTGTCCTAGAAGAGATCACCAACATGTTTTCCAGTAGTAGTATGAGTCTTTAACACCTAAATAGCAAAATATTTCTTTCTGAGTTAAAAATCAGTATAATTCACTAGTTTTGAATCTGTAGGCAAATAACTTTCTGAGTCAGTTTCCTCCTCTTATAATGTAAATAAAGAATTCTATTCTCCAGGGTTGCATGGGGGACCAAATGGCCAATGCAAGCACAGTACTTAGAGAGCTCAGCACAGGGGTTGGACAGAGTAGGTATTCAATACTGAGTAGCTCTCTTTCCTACTCCCCTCTCGCATTTACTCCTAAAAAAAAAAAAATTCAAGAGTCTTAAAGATAATACTTAAAGAACAGGTGAAGAAAAGACTGCTTTTTGAAAGACCATGTATTAGCAACAAAAGATGAACAATCAATATTGGGGATAATTCTTTTAGTACTAGATCTACCAAAAGAGATAGAAAAAATGGATACAATTATGTGATAGCATGCAAAAGGCTGTGAGAATGTGGCCTCATTTAATATATACTCCAAATTACTCAGTCTTATTATGTCCTGTGGCACATAATTTTAGCAATGTGCTAAGAAAAAAAGACTACAATAAC